TCTTATACATAGCAAAAGATCATGAGCAACGTCCCCGGAATGGAGGACTCACCAATAACCTTGATAGGAAATCGTATTAGCCACGCGGAGGAGGATGGTCAAGCGGTGCTCCGGTCCCTACATGGTGACATCATGTAGGCGTAGAGTATGCGTTAGTACGTTTGAATGTACTAAGTATATGGGATGCAATGCAATGCTACAATAGATGGACATTATAGGAAAATGCATAATAATACCCGTTAGATAGCACATTAATGAAACGATATATATATAATGACGCTTACATAAAAATCATATTTAGTGGGACGTAGCACAAGTGTGGTGAGTGACCATCAATATAGTATTTCCAAGGCCTACCACCCCCTTGGAGAGGCGAAAGAGGTACAAACCCCTCAATGTGGTTACCCGGGCCTACCACCCCCCGAGCTAGGGACCAAGGTACAAACCCCTCGATGTGGTTATACGGGCCTACTACCCCCCGTACTAGGCAACCAAGGTACCAACCCCTCGATACGGTTATACGGGCCTACTACCCCCTCGTACTAGGCTTGGTCGACTCACAACACGTATATAGAGAAAATCATATACATGTGTCCATTTCATCATCATTTCAATAATTATATAACCATTCGATTCATAGGACGTACATTGGACCTTCCATTTCATAAGAATTCTATAAATGGCATTTTATCAAACACATGGTGGGCTATTGTTCATGTAGATAAAATCATGTCTTTCAAGAGTACTAAGTCCAACCAATTCCGAAATACATATATATCAGCCCACCAACAACATACATATATATATCAACCTTCATAATTTGATCATGGAAGCATAAAAACCATAAGCATCACATAATAATTCCATTTCATGATAATATGCAAAAATAGACCATTATAGGATGTGTAGTAGTAATTCCATAATTCAAGAGTTCATGAATGATCATAAGGACCCATAAACTTGAAGTAAAATAGAGGATAAATGGTTGGACTTGTGGAAAGGATGGTTTCCACAATCAACCCACATACCTCAACTTTGGAGAATCCTTGATGAAGATTGGAATGGAGAATTGAAGCTTGAGATTGAGTCTTGAATCCGGAATTAAAACTTGAGATGATTGAATTTGGTTGAAGATCTTGGTAGAATTTTGGAGAGGTCTTAGACAGTGTTTTTGAGTGTTTTGAAGCTTTGAAAAAAATGACTAAGTATGGGACATATCCTCTTTTTATAAAAGAAAAACGTCCAGCCGCTACAGTAACTTTAGCTACTGGAAATTAAAATTCTCCTCCGGCAGGTTTTTACGAAAATGGTCATAACTCTCTCATACTAACTCGGAATGAGGTGAAACCAAGTGAATTGGAAAGCTAACTCGTAGAGGTTTAATTTAATAGGTTACGGCCCTTCCAGTTCCTTGTGTGCTAAAGAGATATGTCCCTTTAAAGTTGACCCTGAAAATCGCATTTTTTTGCGATTTTCGAATTTTGATACGGTTGCTCTAAAATTCGGGTTAGACCCATTTCCCACTCAATTTGACCCCCTGAATAAGAATATGAAGTCGAATTTCCGAAATCATGCACGGATTTTGAGATATATGGAAATTACAATTATAGGTGTTTCGGAAGCACATTTTCGGGCATTTTTGGGGTCGTTTCACAATTTATCCTAAACCCTAAACCTAAACCATAAACCCTAAACCTTAAATCTTAAACCTTAAACCCTAAACCCTAAACACTAAACCATAAACCCTAAACCCTAAACTCTAAACCTTAACTCTAAACCCTAAACCCTAAACCCTAAATACTAAACCATAAACACTAAAGTCTAAACCATAAATCCTAAAACCTTAAAAGTAAATGCTAAATCCTAAACCCTAATTCCTAAACTCTAAACCCATAACCCTAAACCTTAAAACCTAAACCCTAAACCCTAAACCATAACCCTAAACCATTAATCCTAAACCCTAAACCTAAATCCTAAACCCTAAATCCTAAACTCAACACCCTAACCCCTAAACCCTAAAACCCTAATCCTTAACCCTAATTCCTAAACCCTAAATTCCAAACCCTAAACACAAAACCCAAAATCCTAAACCCAAAACTATAATCCTTAAACCCTGAACCTAAGCCCTATATCCTAAACCGTATCGCATCTTCATTTGTCAAAATTTCTTCTCTCTCAAATTTCTCACTCTAAAAAAGCGCTCAAAACAGCCAAAATGGCTACTTCTCCAAAATTTGCCAGCGCTGCCGGAATGGCGCGTGAGCCGCCGGCAGAGCTCCCCAGGCCATCGGATAAAGTGCAATCGGAGCGCCTGAATGTTACCGACAAAACCCACCCAGCTACTCTCTCTAATTCATTCCACAACTCCACGAATTCGCAAAACACAGACGCGATAATAGTGATTTCGGTTAAAGAGTTAGAAGGGACGGGTAATATTATTTCCCCAAGCGATGTTGTTTCGATTCATGAAAAAGTGATTAGATATATGGATTCCCCTAGTTTAGATTTATATCGTAGTAAAAATTCAGCTGACTTCACCGTCCCAATTGACGGGAATTCAGAGGTGATTTGCGCTAAAGAAGTGAACGAACTGCCCGAGCTGCGCCTTCAATTTTGAGATACTTCAGGTCAAACTCGTGCTAATTCAACCACTGGAATTACTCACCACATGATGAGGTTCATCTCACATAAATTTCAAGCAAAATGGACGGTGGAATCACCGGCAGGAAGGAATCCGGTGAACTTCGAACCGAGGCCACCGGAGTTTATGAAAAAACTGGGAAAGGAAATTTTTCCTCACCATTGGATACCCATCTTTCAGACATTTCAAGCAATTTGGAAGGAGGAAACACCAACAACAATCAAACAACTCAACCAAATGAAGTTGTAATGAATTTAAGCAAAGGAACTAGTAGGAAGGATCATGATACTGTTAGGAATGGTTCATTCCCTAATCCTACTGCAAGAAACAACGACCAACTGAGTGTAATCCATACTTCAGGGGCACCTGCAGTACATGAAGAAGCAAATCAAATACAGGAAATGTCAATGAATATACAACAGGCCAATGTTTAGACCAAGAGGAACCAGACTGCAGAAAGCTCAGCTGCAGAAGCTCAATCATCGAATTTCTCCTTTGGAATTAGAGGTAACTTAATGAACATAATTACTAATGCTAATCTTTTCGTAATGCAGGACACAAATCAGGGCAAGACATTGGAGAAAGCAGGACTGGATCAGCAGCAAAAGAATGGACAAACTAGTCAAAATCGCCAAATTGAAGGTAAAGAGGTGCAGACAGGACACAAAGACAAAGAGTGGCAAAAGAGTCAGCATAAGGAAGCAAATCAACAGGGAGGGACTAGTCGAACCCAATAGGACAACACTAGAGCTAATATGGAATATCAGCACAATTTTCCTAGGATCTCCAACAACCTTGCTAGGTATGATCCTAATCCTCAAAGGAGTAAGAATGTCGATAACCAGATTAGCAATAATGTAGCTCAGGTTAGTACGAAACTTTTGAACAATCAACAGCAAAGTCGAGCTCAGAACTCTAAACAGGATGTAATCCCTGAACCTGCTCCTTTCACTATTGTTCAATCCTTTGTTGCTCGCTTAAGATATAATCAATCCAAGAATGAAACTCCTATAGTGTTGAATAGTCCCGTACACACCACAAGACAGGGACTACCTGCTGTACTTCTGGACGAGGATGATTATAATATCAAATTGGCTGAAAGTTGTAAACACACTCTAGTTGGCAAATTCACCAACACCATGCCCAAAATGGAACTGATTCGGAAAAGCTTCACCCTCCAAACTCAATTAACTGGAGGGGTGAAAATAACTCATTTTAATTCTAGACATGTGTATATTGATCTTGATAATGAGTTTGACTATGTTACGGTTTGGACTAAGCAAAGAATGAATATTAAAGGGCAATTAATGAGAATCCAAACTTGGACCCCTGATTTCACACCTGAAGAAGAAATCCCTATAGTCCCTATATGGGTGGCACTTCCTGAACTCCCATGGCATTGTTACAATAAGGTCCTATTAACAACTATTTTGAGCTCTATTAGCAAGGTATTATACCTTGATGTACCATCCTCCCAAAAAACCAGAGGCAGCATGGCTAGAGTGAAGATCCAAATTGACCTTACCAAGGAAAGACCTCCCCATGTCTGGCTGGGATTCAAGAATTCTGATCCCAACAAAGGGAGGTGGCAAAAAATTCAATATGAAGGAATTCCTTACTATTGTCATTACTGTAAACACCAAGAGCATGTGGATAATGTTTGTACGATCAAGAGAAGAGATGAGGAGTTCCAAAGGAGGAAAGAAATGGAGGCTGAAAAAAGAACAAGACTAAAGGTGAGCAAGAGAAAGGAGGCACTAAAACTCAGGTGCAAGACAATGGTAAACCAGAGAATAATACAAGTGCACAGGCTTAACAGCAATCTCATCAAAGAAGAGACTGCAGACCTAATGAAACTCTAAGACAAATTCAAGGAAAACCCACCCTCAAGTTCAACAACAAACTCAAACTACCCAGGTCCAGATTCACCAAGAGCAGGAGGTAGGTGATCAAGAAGAACATTGGCAAATCCAAAGAAAGAAGCAGAATAGAAATCAGGATCAATCCTATCCCAAGACTGCATGGAGACCTGTCTCACCACAACAAAAAGGAGCCAAGGACAACACGCAACAGGAGACACAACCATCAAGTATACTCCCTACAATTCTTACTCATAATAACCATATTAACCTTGAAATGTAGGAATTATAGGCTACAGACAATGAGGAGGGTAACAACAACAGGACAGCAGGTCAAGGAAGTCATCCAATGCAAGGATCAGATAAGGATCCATCTTTAATAAATTCTCACAATAAAACAACAAGGCAAAAAGAGCAAGCTGCAACCACTAAAAACAACAATACCTCAGGTATTGACTCTCTAATCCCACCCCCTAACACCCTCGATACTATTGATAGTAATGTTGCTGAGGAAGCTGTTGGAGGTATGGAAGGGAGGGTACAGAAGACACACACTAACTTGCAGGAAGGGGTATCCGAAAGGGGGGAGGGAATTGACTCATGTTCTGCATGAGGTTGAGACCTATGACCATAGGACTGACTCTACAGCACCTACTACCCCTATCTCAAATCAAAAAGAAGTTGCGCAACATGCAATTCAGGAAAGGAAAGAGATGAATACTGAAACAGAACAACAGAAAGACAGACCCAACAATAAATCAGGGGGAAGGCTAAGCAAAAAGAAAAGAGATGCTATGAAAAAAAGGCAGGGAAAAAGTAGTGAACTGGAGCAGGTTTTAACAGACAAAGGCCAACAATTAAAGAAACAGATAGCAAATAATGTTAAGAAGGGGAGACCTATACAAGATGACTATGGAGCTTTAAATTCAGAGGATGAACTGGAGCCTGACAACCAATCCATAGATGAGTATGATGAAGAGGAAGAGGAAACTTGTAATCTTCTAATTCAAGCTTTTGGCTCCACCTTTAACACTGACTGGTCAGAAGAGGTTCAAGAACTCACTGAGCAACAAGGTCTATCCCCCAGAGGTAGGAAGCAAAGCAGACACACCAAACAGCCGACTATCACCAGTATTTCTGCTACTTCTAGCAGACCCATCACAAGGTACAAATCTAAAGGTTTTTGATGATTAAAGCCATTTGCTGGAATGCTAGGAGTATCAATACCCAAGGATCTTTGGAGAGACTTCAAACACTCAACAAGATGCACCAGTTAGTTATGATTGCTATACTAAAGCCCTTTGCAGACAATTCCCAACTCAACACTATGAGAGTTCATCTTCAAATGGACCATGCAATTATTAATCCTAATGGAAAAATCTGGCTTTTTTGGTCTAATGCGATCACTGGTAATATTCATGAAAATAGTGAACAGCATATCACAGGAGACTTCAAGCATTCTGATCTTACTGAGGGGTTCATGGTGTCCTTCATTTATGCTAAGTGTAAGGAATATATGAGAAGACCTCTGTGGGATAGTCTACTGCAGTATGCTAGCCTGGATATCCCTTGGTGTACCATTGGAGATTTCAATGTTATCACTAATATAGAGGAGAAGCTTGGGGGAGTGCCTTACAACATGAATAAGAGTTTTGAGTTCATCAGTGTGATTGAAGCTTTTGGCCTAACTGATCTAGGCTTTACAGGTATACCTTTCACTTGGTGCAGCCAAGGGACTGCACAGGTTAGAGTTTGGAAGAGGTTGGACAGGTCCATGGTCAATGACAAATGGTTAGAAGTCATGCCACAAACTACTATTGAACATCTATCCTCAGTTGGCTCTGACCACAGTCCTCTGTTGATGGAAATGGTCAGGAAAAATGAGAACCACATCAAGTATTTTAAGTTCCTTCATTGTTGGGTGGATAATGCTAACTTTATGGAGACGGTTCGAAAGTGCTGGGAGAGGGAGGTCACAGGTAATCCTATGTGGCAACTTCATCAGAAAATGAAGAGGCTAACATACACTCTTAGCAACTGGTCAAAGAAAGAGTATGAAGATATATATGCTAAAGTGAAAGAATTTGAAGGGATTTTCAAGAAGACTGAGGAAGAACTTCTTACACATAATACTGAAGCACTTAGACAGCAGTTACATCTCATGAATGCCAACTATATTAGATATTTGAATTTGAAGGAATCCATTCTTAAACAAAAGACACAACTCCAATGGTTTAAGGAAGGGGATGCCAGCACCAAATACTTCCATGCTTTGAGAAGGGGTCGAAGAAGAAGACTTTTTATACATAAAATCTGTATAGGGAATGATGTGTGGATTCAAGGGGATGATCAGATTGCACAAACAACGTGTGATTATTTCCAGGGAATGTTCACTGGTCGGAATCGCAGAATAGATGAAAAAATTCTTCAACATTTGCCTACTCCAGTTACGCCCAATCAGAACAAGAAACTGCAGGAAATGCCTACTTTGGAGGAACTAAAGTAGGTGGTGTTTGCCATGAACCCAAATTCAGCACCTGGTCCAGATGGTATAGGTGGCAAATTCTACCAAGCATGCTGGAACATCATTAAAAAGGACTTGCTAGCTGCTGTACAGTACTTCTTTTGTGGTCACAATATGCCTAAGTTTATGTCATATGCATGCCTGGTTTTTCTTCCCAAAAAGGAACATCCTAACAATTTTTCTGACCTCAGGCCTATTAGTCTCAGCAACTTCTCAAATAAGATCATATCCAAACTTCGCATGAGACTGGCTGATATCATCCCTCTTCTCATCTCAGACAATCAATCAGGGTTTGTAAGAGGGAGGAGCATCACAGAAAGTATCATGCTTGCACAAGAAATCACTCATGACATTAAGAGGCCTAAAGAAGGAGACAATGTAGTAATCAAACTAGACATGACCAAAGCTTATGACAGAGTGTCTTGGTCCTTTACTTGCTTGGTACTAAGGAGATTGGGTTTTGGGGAGTTCTTCATTGACCTAGTGTGGAGAACCATGAGTAACAATTGGTACTCAATCATTATTAATGGCCACAGACATGGTTTCTTCCACTCAACTAGAGGCCTCAAACAAGGTGATCCTCTCTCTCCGGCCCTATTTATTTTAGGTGCGGAGGTTTTATCAAGAATGCTTAACAATATCCAGCAGAATCCTATGTATAGAGGCTTTAACATGGAGTCCAAAGGCCCCCAGATTAATCATCTAAGTTTTGCAGATGATGTGATTATTTTTACTTCAACAGACAAAGACTCTATGAGACTCATCATGGCCACCTTGGAGGATTATGAACACACTTCTGATCAGCTTATCAACAAAGAGAAGAGCCATTTTATGGTCCCATCAAACACCTCCCAGGATATCATCAACAACATACAGGTAGGATATCATCATCAACATACAGGAAGTCACAAGATTTTCACAGAAGGACAGTCCAATCACATACGTTGGCTGTCCTCTATAGATTGGTAGACAAAGGATCATTTATTATTCACAGCTAGTTGAGAAAGTATCCAAGAAGATTTGTGGATGGCAGACAAGAATACTAAGCTTTGGAGGCAAAATCACTATTGTCAAGCATCCATTGCAATCCATTCCTATTCACACTATGGCTGCAATCTCACCTCCCAGCACTACTATTAAATA